GAACTGTGAACCAATTTTGTATTATATAGGCATATATATATATATATATATATATATATATATATATATATATATATATATATATTGTCATTGCATTCTTGTGGCTCAGTGACACACCTGAATGAAAGGGTCATTAGTATGCAGCCCCATTATGCGCTCATTATGCGGGCCCATTGTCTTCTCAGGTGTGAATCACAGCAGGTCACACCCCTGCGCATATTGCCTTTCCAAACAAAAAGTGTCATTTTTAAATTTAAACCAATCTATTGTTTTACGGATTGATAAGGCAGGATGATTTTCAGATCATTTTGAAGAAAAAACTCTAGGCGACAACATCCATTAGTCAAAAGTCTTGTGGACACATATTTAGTATGTGTTTTGTGGCCTTATTTCAGAAACTTTAAGTTTTAGTTTTTTCAATAACCACGCATAAACAATATTCTCTCAAAAATACAAAAATGTACATACATGTTGATAACACATTATGGTAGCCCTGTGTGTGCTAAATAGAGTGTAATTACACCTTTGCCAGTAATATGTTTATAAGCAACTGAAAAAAGCACAAATGTCAGAGTATGTCAAAACATCTCAAGGACCCAAAAAACACCTTGGACCCCAGAGGGTTAATAACAGAGGAAGAGAGAGGAGTGGTGTGTCCAAAAAATGAAACAGTGGTGTTTGGAGAGGAGCGGAGTTGATGAACGGTTCCAGTTTGAATGGCCTCTGTTTTGGAGCCATTTAGCTGCAGGAAGTTTTGACTCATCCACGCCTCTATCTCCTCCAGGCAGGAGCTGGGGAGGGGGAGCTAGAGGGAGTAACTTGAAGGTACAGTTGTGTGTCATCAGCATAGCAATGGAAGTTAACTCCATGCCTGCTGATGACACGACCTAAGGGGAGCATGTAAATGGTGAAGAGGGTTGGACCGAGTACGGAGCCCTGGGGGACCCCACAGATGACAGTGTGGGGTCTGGATTTTACATCCCCCAGAGCTACATACTCGGTTCTATCAGTGAGATAGGAGTGAAACCATTTCAGGGCAGTACCAGAGAGACCTGTGTAGTGTTGAAGTCGGTGCAGGAGAATGTGTTGGTCTACAGTGTCAAACGCAGCAGAGAGGTCGAGAAAAATGAGGAGGGATGTGGAACCGGAATCAGAAGCCATCAGCAAATCGCTGGTGACTCTGATAAGAGCTGTTTCTGCGCTATGGGATGGACGAAAACCAGATAGAAATTTCTCATATAGCCTGTTGGATTTGAGATGATTATGGAGCTGGGTGGAAACAACTTTTTCCAGAAGTTTGGAGATGAATGGGAGATTTTAAATTGGTCTGTAATTCGACAGCAGTGTGGGGTCCAGGGTGGGTTTTTTGAGGAGGGGTTTGATGAGAGCAATTTTGAGGGAGGTGGGAACATAGCCCGTCTCTACGGACATGTTTATTATTTTAGTTATGAGGGAACTGATAGAGTTAGTGTGAGTTTTAAGCAGAGGAGATGGGAAGGGATCAAGGCGGCAAGTGGATGTTTTGGATTTACGAATAATGTTTTCGACCTCCTGCTGCGTTGTGGACGACAGTTTTGATAGGGTTTGAGCAATCGGTGTTGCGGGCAGGTCTAGTGAGGTGCTATTTAGAAGTGGAAATGAGGAGCGAATTTTGTCTATTTTTGATGTTAAAAAATCAAGAAACCGGTTGCAATTTATATCGCTTGGACTATAGAATGGGGAGATCTGTGGTTTGATGATGTGATTTATTGTGGAGAACAGTTTTTTGGAGTTACCTGGGTCGTTGTTTATAAGTGTTGAGTAATGTTCTGATCTAGCCCTGGAGAGTGCTTTGGCATAAGCCCTACGATGTTCCCGGTAGGCCAACTTATGCACCGTCAGGTCAGATGTTTTACATATGGCGTTTTGGATTGGTGGGAGGAACTAATATTGGGACTTCAAATGTAACCGCCAGGTGATCGGAGACACCCACGTCATACACCTGAAGGTCTGAAACTGAGAAGGGAGTCTGTAATGACAAGGTCGAGTGTATGCCCCCTATTGTGTGTGGGGGCATCCACAAACTGTTGAAGGTTAAGACAATCCAGGGTTTGCTTGAAATTTGAGGCCAGTTTACAGTATGTTGAAATCACCAATAACCAGAATATTTGAGTGCGCTGTGCAGAGGGAGATTAGAAAATCATGAATGTCAGAGATGAAAGTTGGTTGTGGTTTGGGAGGGCGATAGACAAGGGCTATTTTGCTGAAAAAGCTTTTTTGCAACTGAAAACCAGGCTTTCAAATGAGCCAGTACTGGGCACAGACACGAGGGATAATTCAATGTTGTTGCGATGTAAAACAGCTAGGCCCCCACCACGGCCAGTTGTATGAGCCTTATCGAGATATTTGTACCCGGGTGGGCAGGCCTCATTTAGGGATGAGTATATTCCAGGCTGCTGCCATGTCTCTGTAAGACAGAGAATGTCTATCCCCTTATCCAGGATATGATCGTATATAAATCCAGATTTGTTTGACAGGGACTGCACATTCAGCAGTTCAAATGTCATTTGAGATTTAAAATCCAGTTTATTTATAGGGCGGAGAACCCTGCGATCCACTCCAGGTTTTACAGTGCACCGTTTACACCCAGCACTATCTATGTTAGGAGTGGTGGTACTTTGATGACTTAAACGGTGAAATGTCAATTTTGCAGCGGGACGCGATGCCGACCAGAGGGATGGAATGGAGCTGTGGTCACCGGATTTAGACACAACAAACCGGCGCCTTGATCCCCTATGGATATATCGAGGTCGGTACGGAAGATCCAGTTGCTGCAGGGGAGCTCGGCCCCTGCCATTGAGAGCTCGGAGATGTTGCATCGAGGCGTCGGACCACAACATGATGTGTGATATTCTAGCCGATATCCAGGCGAGTACCGGTGAAAGACAGCGACACAAGCCAAGGTAATCCACAGCTTCCACAGGGATGGTATTCCACGTGCAAACATCCGCTTGAAGGCAGAGGCAATGCAGAACCCGAAGTTGGTTCCAGGGCTCAGGGATTTAAAGCCAAAGGGTGGAGAATACACTCTGACTTTGGAAATTTCAGCTTTCTATTTCTGTAGCGATTTCAGTAACTACAGTAAGAATAGAACGGTAGGGCGGATTTGCACGAATTTGAAGAGAATTTGCAGAGAGTTTGCAAAGAAGCGGCGAAAAGCCAGCGCCAGCGTCCTCTCTCCTCGCTCTCGCTCCTTGATGTAAATGTTTTACTGAGACAGCTTGCCCTAATCTCTGGTGAGTTTCACGCCATGTATCAGACCAGATGTGTCAAAAGCTGATGTGGGACGTGTTTTGCCTCTTCCTACGCTTTTTCACCCATTGGTTCTCGTGATTGTGTCCTCTCAGATCCGGACTTCCTCTCAGGCCAGATCATTCAAAAGCAGGTTTGGGATGTTTTGGCAGTTTTTTTTTCCTCTATCAAGGATTTTTCATCCATTGGTTCTCAATGTTTTCCTTTCAGACCCAGACTTCATCTCTGGCCTGGTTGCTGATGTGACATTTTGGCTGGTTTTAGTTTTTTGTTTGTTCGTTTTTTTGCCTCTTTGTAAGGTTTCTGTTTTTGCCTACTGGTTCCTCTCATTGAATTTTAAAATGTATTTTCTGTGACTTTTTTTCCTTAAATACTGTTAATGTATTGTTAAAACCTGTTTTAAATAAATGGCAAACAATGTACTAATACATAATCTATTTTGTCTTTATTTTTTCCATTGAGTAAAAAGTTTGTTTGGAATGTCTGTATACATTATGCTACATATAGGGATGTTAATAGATATCAGACAATGTAGTAAATAGAAAACAGTATTTATATTCTAACTTTATACTGCAGAATTATAGCTGGAACCATTGCTGCCAGTGCTTTGTGAAATCACAGCCATAAAATTAAAAACTGTAAAAATACGGTAAAGGGCTGGAACCACAGCTGCCAGTTCTTTACTGTAAATATACGGGTGAAGTTTTTACAGTGAAGGCATCAAATTATCATAATATTTTATAACAGTTGTCTACTTTCTACCATTACATCAGGGCTCACTTTCATGTCCTTTCACTTTATATTTCTCTCGGTTAATTATATTGATGTACTGAAAAATAAATGTAATCTTTTTTTTCATGTCAGACCTGATGGAGGAGAGCGAGGAGAGTGAAGAACTGAGTGAAGTGAAGGAGGAGAGTGAAGTGAAGGAGGAGAGTGAAGAACTGAAGGAGGAGAGAGAAGAACTGAGTGAAGTGAAGGAGGAGAGAGAAGAACTGAGTGAAGAACTGAAGGAGGAGAGAGAAGAACTGAGTGAAGTGAAGGAGGAGAGAGAAGAACTGCGTGAAGTGAAGGAGGAGAGAGAAGAACTGAGTGAAGAACTGAAGGAGGAGAGAGAAGAACTGAGTGAAGTGAAGGAGGAGAGAGAAGAACTGAGTGAAGTGAAGGAGGAGAGAGAAGAACTGAGTGAAGAACTGAAGGAGGAGAGAGAAGAACTGAGTGAAGTGAAGGAGGAGAGAGAAGAACTGAGTGAAGTGAAGGAGGAGAGAGAAGAACTGCGTGAAGTGAAGGAGGAGAGAGAAGAACTGAGTAAAGTGAAGGAGGAGAGAGAAGAACTGAGTGAAGTGAAGGAGGAGAGAGAAGAACTGAGTGAAGTGGAGGAGAGAGAAGAACTGAGTGAAGTGAAGGAGGAGAGAGAAGAACTGAGTGAAGTGAAGGAGGAGAGAGAAGAACTGCGTGAAGTGGAGGAGGAGAGAGAAGAACTGAGTGAACTGAAGGAGGAGAGAGAAGAGCTGAGTGAAGTGAAGGAGGAGAGAGAAGAACTGAGTGAAGTGAAGGAGGAGAGAGAAGAACTGAGTGAAGTGAAGGAGGAGAGAGAAGAACTGCGTGAAGTGGAGGAGGAGAGAGAAGAGCTGAGTGAAGTGAAGGAGGAGAGAGAAGAACTGAAGGAGGAGAGAGAAGAACTGAGTGAACTGAAGGAGGAGAGAGAAGAGCTGAGTGAAGTGGAGGAGGAGAGAGAAGAACTGAGTGAAGTGAAGGAGGAGAGTGAAGAACTGAGTGAAGAGGAGGAGGAGAGAGAAGAACTGAGTGAAGAGGAGGAGGAGAGAGAAGAACTGAGTGAAGTGAAGGAGGAACATCATGTCCAACCTGGAGGAAAACCCTTGAGTCGCTCAAAGACTAAACAGACATTTTTAAAGAAAAGAAGAGCCAAGAAATCTTTCACCTGCACTCAGTGTGGGAAGAGTCTCACACGCAAACAAAGTCTTGAGATTCACATGATGATCCACACTGGAGAAAAGCCGTTCATGTGTAATCAGTGTGGGAAGAGTTTCAGACACATAACAAGTCGTAATCAACACATGAGGATCCACACCGGAGAGAAGCCGTTCTCATGTGATCAGTGCGGCAAAACCTTTCTTAGTGCATCAGAGCTGAAGAAACACCTGACAGTTCATACGAAGGAGAAGCCACATTCATGTTCTGTGTGTGGAAAGAGTTTTTCACTAATGTCATATTTACACGTACATGAGAAAACTCACACTGGTGTGAGAGAGTACATGTGCTTTGAGTGTGAGAAGACTTTTACTACAGCAAGACATTTAAAACGGCACCAGAGAATTCACACTGGAGAAAAACCTTACAAGTGTTCACACTGCGACAAGAGATTCATTGTGTCATCAAATCTGAAAACACATGAGATGATCCACACTGGAGAACAACCTTACAAGTGTTCACACTGCGACAAGAGATTCAGTGTGTCATCATCTCTGAAAACACATGAGAAGATCCACACTGGAGAACAACCTTACAAGTGTTCACACTGTGACAAAAGATTCAGTCACTCATCATCTCTGAAAACACATGAGAGGATCCACACTGGAGAGAAACCTTACAAGTGTTCACACTGTGACAAGAGATTCAGTCAATCAGCAGATCTGAAAACACATGAGAGGATCCACACTGGAGAGAAACCTTACAAGTGTTCACACTGCGACAAGAGATTCATTCGATCAGCAGATCTGAAAACACATGAGAGGATCCACACTGGAGAAAAACCTTACAAGTGTTCACACTGTGAAAAGAGATTCATTCGATCATCATCTCTGAAAACACATGAGAGTATCCACACTGGACAACAACCTTACAAGTGTTCACACTGTGACAAGAGATTCAGTCGATCATCATCTCTGAAAACACATGAGAAGATCCACACTGGAGAGAAGCCGTACACGTGTGATCAGTGCGGGTCGAGTTTCTCTACTAAAAGTCACCTAAAGCTACACATGAAGATCCACACAGTTGAGAAACCACTTAAACACAGTTTGAGATCACGGTAAGTAGTTTATTTTCATGTGCTGAGCAACAAAGTCTCTTCTGTGTAAGTTAGCCACACATCACCCTAGTGTTAATTTCGTCAGACGAGACTAAATATGTTCGTCAACGACCTTTTTTCCCATGACTAAAACGAGACGATGACGAGACCGCACCAATGTCCAAAAATACTGACGAAGACTAAATTAACAGAAATTATTGTTGACGATAAAAGACGAGACTAAAATGTTTAGCATAAAATAAAAACTAAGATAAAATCTCTCTTCATTTTCGTCTACAATCATCACTACTTTTTCATCTTAGAATATTCAGCTGTTATGCCTTCATAATATTCCGAATGAGTTTGCGCTGTTCAAGTACAGGTCTCGTACTCCTGTGGCTGCAACACGAAACTACATGGAGCAAGAACACAATACAGTAGAGAAAATGCGACGAGTTCCACATGCTAGGTAGAAGGAAGAAGCTAGATATTTGGTAGCATTTTACGTACAATGATATTGACAAAGTCTGAATTGTCATAACATACTCGGTTACCTAACGTAACCTCGGTTCTCTTACGGGAGGTTCTCTCGTATTGCGTAAGTTTAGCTTACGCTACGGGTAAAGTTAATCTTTGCTCGAGATATTGAGGCCAAAATTATCCTTAATTGTGTATATATTGTTGCAGTGCAGCAACTGCAGACCTAGAGCAGGCTGTCTAGCGTGCTCATTGGCTGCCCTGCGGCAACTGCAGCAGCCTACCAGTGAGCCTGGCGTGACGTCACGCCCAATGGTGGTGCTTCGCAAAAGCGGGGCTCAGAGGCTGCTTCCGTAGTTTTCATGATCTGAAGTGAAAATCGCTCGTGGCGCTTAGCATGGCCGGTTACGCAATACTCGTTCCCTCTCTAGAGAGAACCGAGGTTACGTTAGGTAACCGAGTACTATTATTATTTATTTATTGTCATTGGAAGTACAACGAAATTACATCAGAGCAACAATCGACAGTGGTTTTCATGAAGTGCAGAAGATCACCAATAAAAACAGTTTGTTTACAGGGCACCGCAACAGACAGCTACCAAGACAAGGGAATATCAAGTTGAATCACTTATAGAGCTGCACAGTCCAGTTTCAATTGTTGGATGATAAAGTCCATACTAATACCACAAATAGGGCCATAGTGACACATAAACAGAGAAGGGGCATATAAGCTGGATCGCTACCAATCAATGAAAATGTATAATTATGTGTGCTGCAACAATGCAAAGTCCAGTTCACAGTTATTGTAGTTGTTGGGTAATGTTAAATAATGATAGATGTGTAAATTAAGTAACGGAAGGAGGTAGTCCGGAGTGGTGCTCATTCAGCAGTCGAACTGCCTGAGGGTAGAGGCAGTTGGCCATTCTAGTGGTTCTAGCTGGAAGAGACCTGTACCTCCCTAAGCCGTGTGCTGGGTGGAACCGGTCTCTTATGATGTTGTGTGCTTTACGCCGACCAGCGGGTGGTGTACACAGATGAGATCTCTGGGAGGGTAGCCCGATGATTTTGCCTGCAGTCTTCACCACCTTCTGAAGTAACTGTTGTTCAGCTGTGGTGCAGCTAGATATTTCGTAGCAGTACGTTCTCTTACGAGAGGTTCTCTCGTATTGGTTAAGTTTAGCTTACGCTACGGGAACACTTTGTCAATGCCGTGCACGCCCAGCATCCGCTCTATGAGTCCCAACTCGGGGAACAGTGAGAGTGGGTATACTTGGGTATACGTATACTTTGAGCGTGGATGGGGACCTGCCCTTATCCAGCAGCTCTTGAAGGAAACCGAGCACCTGCGAAACCTCACCCGTTCTGGGGTCCAGATTTTTGTCGGTGCACCATTTGGAGAACACAGACTATTTAGACGCATATAGCCGTCTCGTAGAGGGGGCTGTAGATTGCGTGATCGTGTTCATAACTCCTTCTGGCAGGATAACGGGTATCCGTTGATCAACCACACGTGCAGAGGCCGTGTTTGGTTCTCCCATCGTGGGGCTATGAGGAGCACCGGGCTGTGCGATTCCCTGATTCTCTTGATTACCTGTGGTAACATAGAGATCGGAGGGAAGGCATATAGCGGGCGGTTGGGCCAGCGCATCCTCGTTCTTTGAAAAGAACACTGGGCAATGAGCGTTGTCCTTTGATGCGAATAGGTCGACTTCCGCTCTGCCAAAGAGGTGCCATAACAGCTGGACTGTTTGGGGGTGTAAAGACCATTCCCCGGGGGGAACATTGTCCCTGGACAATCTGTCCGGTCCTTCGTTCAGGATCCCTGGCACGTGCATCGCTCTCAGCGAGCGCAGGAAGCACTGGGTCCAAACGAGGAGGCGTTCTGCCAGATCGCAGAGGCTCCTGGATCTGACACCGCCCTGGCAGTACACGTAGGACACAACCGACATGTTGTTCGAGCGGACTAGAACGTGTTGGTCCTGTATGAACGGGAGGAAGCGCTTCAGCGCGTTCTTGACCGCCAGCATCTCCAGACAGTTTAGGGGAAGGTGTTTCTCTCGGTCTGACCACAGGCCAAAGACCGGTCTGCCCTCGAAAAAGGCCGCCCCAACCTGAGTTGGAGGCATCTGTCGAGATGATTTTCCGATGGGAAATCGCTCCCATTGTCACCCCCTGTTGGTACCAATTGGCCGCTAACCAGGGCTGCAGAGCTGAAATGCAGCTCTGAGATATCCTGATCCGCTTGTAGCCACGCGTCCACCCCTGATGGGGTACGCGGGCGTTCAACCAGTGTTGTAGCGGGCGCATGCGCAGTAAGCCCAGCATACAGCCCAGCATCCTCTGAAATTTTTTCAGGCAGGCGGTTCTGCCCTTCTGGAAAGATGCTGCTAGGTGTCGAACACGGCGCGCGCGCTCTGTTGACAGCTGAGCCTTCATAGCCACGGAGTCCAGTTCCATTCCTAAAAAGGAAATTGACTGGCTGGGCCGTAATGAGCTCTTGGTCCAGTTGACCGTGAGGCCCAATCTTTCCAAGTGACTGAGAAGCATAGTTCTGTGAGATACGAGCTCTATCTCTGACTGTGCTAGAATCAGCCAGTCGTCCAAGTAGTTCAGAATTCGCACACCCTGACATCTGAAGGGGGCGAGCGCCGCGTCCATGCACTTCGTAAATGTACGGGGTGCCAGGGACAGGCCGAACGGGAGGACGGTGTACTGATATACCTGACCATGGAAGGCGAATCTCAAGAATGGCCTGTGATGGGGTATAATCTGTATCTGAAAATACGCGTCTTTCAGATCAAGAGATATAAACCAGTTCTTCGGGAGAATTTGCGCGAGGATCTGCCTGGTTGTAATCATTTTGAACGGTCTCCTCATGAGAGCTTTGTTCAAAAATCTCAGATCTAATATAGGCCTCAGGCCTCCGTCCTTCTTCGGTACGAGAAAATAACGGCTTTTAAAGCCTGACTCGCTCAGAGAAGGCGGCACCGGTTCTATAGCCCCTTTGCACAGCAGTTTGGCTATTTCTGCGCGAAGTAGATGTGCTACTTTCGCGCTCACTGTCGACTCGGTCCAAACGTGAAAATGCGGGGAACGGCGAGCGAACTGTAGTGCATAGCCCTGTCTTATTGTGCTTAGCACCCACTCTGAAACCCCAGGAATGGCTTCCCATGCTTGTGCATGTGTGGCCAGGGGGAGAATGGCCTCCAGGTTCCGGTCGCCGCACACTGTGGGCTGCGGGAACTGAAACGGAGATGTGGGCGCGGCGCGCGCGCCCTCTGTGCTTGGATGAAGCGGCTCGCTGACAGCCGTTTTGGGCTGCTTCGCACGTAACGACCCAATTACAATGAATGGGGAGCGTTTTACAATGGCTTTCTGAAGCGCGAGCGGCGCTTGAGGGAGGCGAAGCGACTGATAGTACATGCGAGCGCTCGTGAGCGCATACATTCACAGTCTGACCGGTATGACATTTACATTTAGTCATTTAGCAGACGCTTTTATCCAAAGCGACTTACAACTGAGGACTAAACCAAGCGAGTCATCGTGAAGAGGCAAAAACAACGCAAGAAGTGCTCAAAATACAAAGTTCAGACATTGCTCAGAGTAGCATAAGCCAGACAAGCGAGGATTTAGAGGAAAGGATTTTTTTTTTATGTTAAGTGCTCTCGGAAGAGATGAGTTTTCAGTTGTCTTTTGAATGCTGTCAGGGATTCTGCATTCCGGATGAGGGTGGGCAGATCATTCCACCAGCATGGAACCGTGAATGAGAATGTTCTGGAGAGTGATTTTGTGCCCCGCTGTGATGGTACCACGAGCCGTCGCTCATTGACCGTAGGCTTCTGGTAGGGATGTAGACTTGTAGTAGTGAGTGGAAGTAGGAGGGAGCTGAACCTGTGGTCAATCTGTAAGCAAGCGTCAAAGCCTTGAACTTGATGCGAGCAGCGAGTGGTAGCCAGTGCAGAGAGATGAACAGAGGAGTGACGTGGGCCCTTTTGGGCTCGTTGAAGACAAGACGAGCTGCAGCATTCTGGATCATTTGTAGAGGTTTAGTTGCACATGATGGAAGTCCAGCCAGAAGAGCATTGCAGTAATCAAGCCTAGAAATGACCAGGGCCTGGACGAGAAGTTGTGTTGCATGCTCAGTTAGGAAAGGCCTGATCTTCCTGATGTTGTGCATAGCAAACCTGCATGATCGAGCTGTCTTTGTAATGTGGTCTGTGAAGGTCAGCTGATCATCAAAGATTACTCCAAGATTTCTGACAAGTATGAGTGCTTAGACACGGCGGCTCGCTGACAGCGATGGCACGCTGTTTCATATGTGACATCCCGGTTACACTGAATGGGGAACGTTTTCTGAGAACTTTGTAGCGAGTGAGCAGCGCTGGAGGCGAGGCGTTTATTAGTGCTGGGGCGGGCATGAGACTTACAATCGCAGCCTGACTCATATGGGTGTCTATATGCGGCGGCTTGTGAGCGGGCACGTGACTTGCACTCATAACCTGACTTGAGGTTGAAATGGCCGTGTGACAGAGCGGGCATGAGATGTACG